ATCCAGGGGGTCCAGGGAAGGCTTTTTTAGGAGTGGCTTAACCGCCGCTTCCTTTAAACAGGATGGAATACAGCCCTCCCTGAAGGACACATTGATCGTGTCCCAAAGGAACGCTTTCAACACATCCCCCCCCGGACGACCAGCCAAGATGGACAAGGGTTGAGGGGTCAAGTTGTCTTCCTCATCATTCCAAGCAAATACCCTGAAGGGACCAGATCCTGTGTGAACTTGGAAGCAAAGCAAGGGTCAGCCCTGGTTAGTACTTGGATGGGAAACCAAAAAATAAAACCAGGTGCTATAGGCTCTATTTTAGAGGAAAGCAATGACAAACCACCCTCTGAGTACTCCTTGCCTAAGAAAACCATGTGAAATTCATGGAGTCACCAGATGTTGATGGGTGATTTGAAAGTACATGGACACATATGTTTGCCAAGGGGAAGGATTTAGAGTGACCCTGCTTTTCATCAAAACTTACATTTGTGGCCGAGAAGAGTATGCCAGTTCAAGACTTGACCACATGATGGACTGCATGCACTAATTCCATGTCAGTGCACCATCAAACAGACTGAGAAGTGATGCATATGAAAGAAACCTGATCATGACATCACAGACTGATATGATTGGTTTTTCATTCCACAGAGAAGTGACTAAATGTCCTACTCACACCCATCCTATTAGTGGCTTGAAACTAATCTGGACAAGGTGTGAGAATGAATGGCCTGCTTCATGAGCTACGCATTTCCACTACAAATTGGCCAGGGGCAAATTTCCGTATGAGACGGCTTCATTTTTAGTGTGAATAGAAACTACCAGAATAATGGCATAGAAACTAAAGGGCCATTTGCAGTATACAGTTGTAATGATGTAGAGGCACTTTGTCTTCAAGGATTGCTTCCATGTGAAAATCAGGAGCAGTGGCTGGGGATGTAGGTCGAGAGAGACATGTTTCCAATGGGAAATTCATCCTTAGGATGGAAAGTAAACTTTTGGCCTTCTCTCTCCATTTCTTTCAACAAGAAAATCTCTCTCCTTTTCTGCTCCTGACCTCCTTCTATGTCTCCCCCCTCTTCTTGCTGCATGCCCCCAGCGATTTTGTTACTCTGCCTTGGAGTAAACAGTAGATGTTACATGGTATTAATACGGCATTTCCAACACAATGCTTTTGGGCATGCTCGGTGTTCAGGTCCCTGGCAGCCATAAATTAATTAAAAGTAGACAGGAACCAGAGGAGAAAAAACAAGCTTCTTTTTTCCCCTCCCTCCCTGCCAATCCTTGTCCCAGCTTTTTCTTTCATGCTCTGTGGGTAAATAGCTAATTCCTTTGTTCCCTTGCTGCACCATTTCATTTCTGCCATCATTGTCCTCATTGTTCTCGGAAACAGGAGGGGTCTGGGCCAGGAGCAGCCAAGGTCTTGGCTAATGACGGGAAGTCTTTAAAGTTTGCGCTGCATTTCATCTTCGCTGTGGGAGTTTTAGGACGCATCCAGCGTTTGATCCCCACCGTGCAACTTTGCTTCTAGTTAATTAACAGATCCCCATTACACTCTCTCATCTGCAAGCGCATGGGAGGCCTATCAGGAGGTAATTCAAGGCCAGTCTGAGTGATGGCAGGAATTAGAGAAATCACTTGTTTCAGGGGTTAATGTACAGGAAGAAAGCCTTCCCCCCTTTGCTGAGGTCTAATTGAAATCTTGTATTCTGCTATAGCCCATTTTGGATCTATTATTTTCCCCTCTCTCTTCCCTCCCACCTCCAGTTCTTCTGTATCCATTGTGACAGGGAGAAAATGGAGGAGGTGCTTAGAAGACAATGAGATGTCCAGATATTTACATTTTGACTTTCATGTTAGTTCGCATTTGCAAACAAACAATAGCAAATAGAAAGTACGTTTCTATACTGCTTATCAGTGAACTATCACTCCCTAAGTGGTTTACAATGTGTAAGTCAATTGCACCCAACAAGCTGATCTACGAAAGTATGGAGGTCTGCGTAGAACCTGGAACCCTGCCTGGGATTGAACTCACAATGTTGTTGCTGCAGTACAGGCATTTAATCACTGTGCCACCAGGGATCCTTGTAAGTAGCCTCAAAGAGAAGGTGGTTAATGTGGTGCTTGCTTAGCAGCCAGTTTGAAACAGAATTAAGTGTAGAGACTAAAAAAGTGGGTATAATACAAAGGTTCTCTTCATACTCAGGACTTAAAAGTGTAAGCATTCACTAACAGGTGTATGCTGTTGTTAATTTCCATCAAGCCATCTTCTAGTTATGGCGACCCTATGAATGGGAGGCTCCAAGAGCCCTGGTCATCAATAACCCTGTTCAGGTCCGCCAAACTCAAGGCTGTGGCTGCTTTGACTGAATCAATCCACCTGTAATGTGGTCTTCCTATTTCCCTACTTTGTTGTTGTTGTGTGTCTTCAAGTCATTTCCAACTTATGGTGGCCCTAAGGCAAACCTATCATAGGGGTTTCTTGGCAAGAGTTCTTCAGAGGAGGTTTGCCATTGCCCTCCCCTGAGGCTGAGAGCATGTGAATTCTCCACAGTCACCCAGTGGGTTTCATGGTCAAGCTGGGAATCGAATCCTGGTCTCTAGAGTCATAGTCTAGCACTCAAACCACTACACCTTGCTTTTCCTTCTGCCTCCCACTTTATCATGCATTATCATTTTTTCTAATGAGTCATGTCTCATGATATGGCCAAAATACAGTACCTCAGTTTGGCTTCTAGGGAGACTTCATTCTTGATTTGCTCTAGGACCCATTTATTGGCCATTTGATATTTGTGAGACTCTGGTCCAGCATGACATTTCAAATGATTTAGTTCTCTTCCTGTCCAACTGAATTCACTGTCCAGCTTTCACAACCATACCTAGAAATCAGAAATACAGTTGCATGGACAATCCTAGCTTTGTTATTCAATGATATATTTTTCTAATTGAGGATTTTATCTAGTTCCTTCACAGCTGCCCTTCCAAGTTGTACTTCTCTGATTTCTTGAACTACAGTCTCAGTTTTGATTTATGACAGAGCCAAGGCAGAGAAAGCTTTTTATTATTTTGATGTCTTCATTCTCCACTTTAAAGTTGTGTGAATTATCTGTGACCATTAGTTGTCTTTTCTTAATGTTCATCTCTAACTCTGCTTCATTAAAACACATCAAAAATATAATTCTAAAAGCAAATATCTTGGCCCACTAGTTGCTCCCAATATACATTTTCCTTTTCTATAGGAGTTATCTTCTCTTCCTTCTTTCCTCCATATTAACATGTGTGTGAACACGGTGTATAGGATGTGCACGTTTTACCTCAACACCTTCCAAAATGTTTCTGATGCAAAAACATGAAGACTTTTTGAGGAATCTATTGTCTTTGCCTACAAAGGAAGGAGGCATACTGGGTCCTTGTTGAGATGCAAATTGACTTTAAATTTCCTGGTCTTTGCAAATCTCTCAATAGCCACATGGACTGAAGGTGGAGGGGCCAGTCTGCAAAAGATTCCCTCCACTTACCATCTTAACTAAGGACAGAAACATCAAAATGCAGGCATCTCACTAACATCTCCAATTTTTGACCTGTTTGGTTTGTAACATCTTGCCTGATGAAAGCAAAAGCAGCAGCTTCATTTATATACCGCTTCATATCACACATGGGATGTCTAAGCAGTTTACAACTGTGAGCTGATTGCCCCCCAACAATCTGGGTACTCATTTTAGCGACCTCGGAAGGATGCAGGCCTGAGTCGAGCCTGAGCCCTGGCTGGTATTGAACTCGCAACCTTGTGGTCTATGAGTGAGTGGCTGCAGTACAGGCATTTAACCACTGCACCATTGTGCATTTGGTTGGCCAATAAAAGTATCACTGTTTGGTGGAATTTTGTTTGAATTTGCTAAATGGCCAACACAGCTACCCCTGCATGTTTCTTAAATCCCACTTAATCTTTTGGGTCTTCTATATCTAGGTGTGGCTCCAATCTGTCAAAATCAATATTAAGCATATTCAAAGTAGATTTTAATATTCCGCCCCCCAACATGCACACACATTGGCTGGGCTACAGAACAACCAGCATCTGTGTGTCAAAAATCCATTGCTTCTCTCCCACCTGTGGCACTTTGTGGCTAAATACAGCATGCGCAAGAGCACAACCTTGTACTGACTTTGAGTCCTTCTAAGTTTCCTGCTATCCCCCCTTCTTCCCCACCCCATGAGCAATGACCCCCTTTAACTAATGAATTAGGAACCACTCCTGCAATTGCAATTCTCAGTTCGACACTTGGCATTGAGAAACAAACCAGGGCTATTTAGCTCAGCGTTAAATGGTCCGCCACATTAACCCCCTGGCACGCTGAGCTATTAGGTTGTTTTACTGTTGTTAAAGTTACATTTGTTAGGTGGAGTCAATGCCCTTCTTAGTGATGTGAGAGAGGGTTCTGTGTGCCATATATGCGGTCTATAGGATGTGCAGGTACACTGCCATGCATGGTGGTGGTGGTGGGGCTTGAAAGCTGAGTGTCCAATAACTCAGTTTTGTTGTCATCCACTGGATCAAAAGAAAAATCATGGTATAACTGACAGCTGAGCAAAATGACATCCATAGGTTACATGTGCCTTCCCTCCTAACATTTGCATTGTGCATACGGAATCTCTTGACCATGTGAATTCCCTCCCTCTGCCTTCAAAAGAGTACATCCCTAAGTCCAGCTAAATGCTACTGTCATGAAATACCCCATGAGCATAGTTGTTCTAGATTATTGTGCAAGTGATCATGCACAGCAGTTGTTCAGAAGTGCCAGAGGGTGTGAATCTTGCTTCATGACCAGTTTCATAATGAGTTATTATGTGTCTTGCAAAATCTCTTGCACAACTGCTTTGCATAACTACTTCATGATAAAAACTGTATTGGGTACCACTCTTGTGTTAATACTTAAAATGCATAATTATATACTTCAACAGCAGAGCTGTCACAGGTAGTCAGGGTCTTTCCATACCTTCAAACTGTCCCATTTAGGCAGGGATAGTCCCAATTAATCCACTCTTGTTCCACTCTCTCTCCTCCTCCCACTTTCCCCCTTTGTCTTTGATTTACTTTAACTGATGCAAACTGAGTGCAGAAATTAGCGGGGGGAGGAGTAGGAGGAGAGGAGCAAGCAGAATCTTAATCTTCCCTGTCGGCTCAGACAAAAGCAAAATGCTGCAGCCTCTCCTAACTTGTGTGTTCTTCCTTTGCCCTCTTGACCACACTGATGTTGTTTGGCCACACTTGTCCTGATTTTCTTCTGTGAAATGATGAAGGATTTCCATCTCATAAAAAGTGAATGGAGTATTGCTTTTTGAGCAAGGTTTTGAAGCAGGTGGTAGCCTCCCAGATTCCAGGAGTTCCCCAATGAAACATATTATTTCAATCCAAATTTCAGCCTTGTTTCATGCTTGGTTGTGGGATGGAGACAGCATTGGTCACCTTAATGGATGACCTAAGTCCAGAAGTGGACCCAGAGAGTTTGTTCCTGTTGGTTCTTCTGGATCTCTCAGCAGCTTTTGATGTCACTGACCAGATTATCTTTCTAGGGATGGGTCTAAGAGCCCTGTTTTACAGTGATTCCAGTCTTTCTTGGAGTTGTGAATTCAGAAGGTGGTGCTGGGGACATTCAACCCCCTGGTAGTAGGCCCATAGGGTCCCTCTCAGGCCTGGGTTTTGTCCCCCATAAAAGCACTGAAAGAGATTATCCAGAGTTTGAGGGTTCAGTATCACTTGTATACTGATAGAGTGATGTATACTCTATCACTCCTTTTCATCTAACTCCATGGAAACTGCTTTGCTGCTAAACTTAGATTAGGTGAGAGCAAACCCATTGAAGGTTAATCCAGTCAAAACAGAGGTGCTCTTGGTCAGTCAAAACAAAGATCAGAGAATAAGGATTTAGCATATGCTGGGTGCTATTACACTCCACATGAACTCTCAGAATCATAGCTTGTGTATACTCCTGCACTCAGATTTGAACTTGGATGCCCAGGGTCCAGCAGTGAATAGGAGCACATTTGCACAGTTAAAACCACCCATTCCTTGAGGTGTCAGAACTGGCTATGGTGACACATGCCTTGATTAAATCCTAGTTGGCTTACTGTAACATATATGGGGCTGCCTTTGCAGATGGGGTAGGGGGATATGGAGGAAAGGAGAGGAAGAACTCAGAACAGAAACAATGCAAAAAGGTCCTGAGAAAAGTGTGATTCTCAGAATGCATAATACTATACTTATTCTAACATTTGGTGCATTTTCTGCAGTTGTATGGAATTACAAATCACCTTGCTAGTAATTCAGTTGTTTAGGCATTTTGGGTCAGAAAGCACAGTACAAGGGAAATACAGTCTAATTCTGGTATCTCAGCTTCAGAACATCTATGTAGAATAGACATTATTTAAATTTCTGGCTCAGCATGAAGAGACTTATGAAACACATATTTGTACTTTTTTTTAATGAAGGTCCTCCCACAATTACCCCCTGGCCAGTTTTTAAATGTCAGCATATTGGCCTTTTGAAATTTCCTGCTTCATAATAACTGAAAGCTATTTGAACATACAGAATTATGGACTAATCGCCGCTTGGCCAATTTTGCTGATTTTATTTTTTATTTTTTGCAGTCACGGCAGCGGAAAAAGAGAATGCAATTTAGTTGCAACTTCAAAGCCCGTGTTTCATTATCATTCTAGCTGAGACTCTTTTGAATACTTCCATCCCAATTTGGTCTTTTAAAGTGAAAGGAATGAGTTGTTTACATTTGTGCATGCTCTGTCATCTGGTAAGGAAGTTGGTCAGGATAATAAGCTGGTCAGCAGCAAAATTATTTGTCAGAGCACATAAAGACCTTTGCCATTATTTCTGTCATGATCCCACTGACCTGCTGAAAACTGCTCAGAGACCAGTAGTGGTCTCCCAAGGTACAGTTTGAAAATCACATGTGCCCTGCTCACAGCTAGGAAACATAATCTTTTTGGATTACAACTCCCACAATTCCACAGCCAGTATGAGGGATTCTGAGAGCTGTAGTCCAAAAAAGAAGAAGAGGAGGAGGAGGAGGAGGAGGAGGAGGAGGAGGGAAAAGAAAAGAAAACAACTTGATCCTACCAAAGTTTGGAGTTAAACTTTCCTCTCAAAAATCTAACTTTTTCAAGTTTTTTTAAAGTAGCTATAAGTCAAAATACCAATTGTTGCTGTTAATGCCCTCAAGTTGACTTTGACTCATGGTGACTGCATGAGTGAGTCACCTCCAAGACTTCCAGTCCTCCATTGCTCTGCTCAGGTCCTGCAGACTTAGGGCCATGGCCTCCTTGATTGGGTCTTTCCATCTAGTATGAAGTCTTCCACTCTTTCTATTCCTCTCTACCTTTCCTAGCATTATTGTCTTTTCTAATGAGTCAGATCTTTTCGTGCCTCGGTGTAGTCATCTTGTCTATCAGGGAATGCTCAGGCTTCATTTGTTCTAGGACACAATTATTTTTTGG